TTCTTTTACTTTAGTGCATTTTCAAAATATCCATGTGACCTTACATGCACACACACACACATTTGCAGATCCACATCCACTCCAGATCTCATTGACAATAATTCTGCAATTGTTGTTTACGACTTCGAAAATCCAATCTATCAAGCCGAAGACGAAGGTGAAGAATATTGTGAGATACTTGGAGAACTCACCAGAATCCTGATACAAGAGGAAAAGGCTATCCAACCGCACGAAGAACCGGTCGAAGTGATAAACTTGGGTACTGAGGCAGATAAGAAAGAAGTCAAGATTGGGGCCAACCTAGAAGACAGTGTCAAGAGCAGATTGGTTCAGCTGTTGCACGAATATGTTGAGGTCTTTGATTGGTCATATGAAGATATGCCATGGCTCGATACTGATATCGTTGTTCTTCATCTGCTAATAAAAGAGGGTTGTTCTCCGGTCAAACAAAAGGTTCGTCACATGTGTCCTGATATGTCTAAGAAGATCAAGGCTGAGGTAATGAAACAGTTCAATGCAGGTTTCTTGGCAGTGACGTCGTACCCCCCAATGGGTTGCAAATGTTATTCCAGTGCCTAAGAAAGACGATAAGGTTCGTATGTGGGTAGACTAAATGGATTTAAATAGGGAAAGCCCCAAAGACAACTTCCCACTACTGCATATTGATGTCTTGGTTGACAACACTGCTCAACACAAGGTATTTTCCTTCGTGGATGGATTCTGAGGTTACAACCAAATCAAAATGGCGCCTGAAGACATGGGGAAAACTACTTTTGTCACACAGTGGGGCACCTTATGTTATAAGGTCATGCCTTTTAGGCTGAAGAACGCAGGCGTAACTTATCAACGGGCTATGGTGGCTTTATTTCATGACATGATTCATCATGAGATAGAAGTCTATGTTGATGACATGATAGAGAGATCACAAATTGAGGAAGAGCACCTTGTTCATTTGCAGAAACTGTATGACATACTAAAGAAATATAAGCTGAGGTTGAATCCAAACAAATGCATCTTCGAGTAAGGTCTGGAAAGCTCCTAGGCTTCGTTGTTAGTGGAAAAGGAATTGAGGTCGATCCTGCCAAAGTCAAAGCTATCCAAGAAATTCCAGCTCCCCGTACTGAGAAGGAGGTTAGAGGTTTCTTGGGAAGACTGAATTACATTGCCCGATTCATCTCTCACTTAACTGCTACTTGTGAACCACTCTTCAAGTTGCTGAAGCAGGATCAAGTAGTAAAATGGAATGACGGAGCTTTGAACGCATTGGGTAACAAGATTGGTGTTATGGTCATTTCCTCCGAAGGTTGCCATACGCCTTTCACTGCCAGACTCTGCTTTGACTTTACCAACAATATGGCCGAGTATGAAGCATGCATCTTGGGTCTTCAAGCGGTTATTGACCTAAGAATCAGATTCTTAAGTGTATATGGAGACTCAACTTTAGTAATCAGTCAAGTTAAAGGAGAGTGAGATACAAAACATCCAAATCTTATCCCTTACAAAGAGCTTGTACTCACCTTGATCCCATACTTTGAAGAGGTTACCTTTAAACATATCCTGAGGGAAGAAAAATAATTGGCAGATGCCTTGGCTACCATGTTATCCATGTTCAAGGTTAAATGGGACAACAAAGCTCCCAAAATTACTGTCTAATGATTTTACGAACCCGCACACTGCTATGAGATTGACACTGATGGTGTAGAAGAGAAGCCTTGGTTTCATGAAGTGAAAAGATATCTCGAAGCTCAAGAGTATCCCGAAGGGGCGTTAATCAACGACAAGAATTCCTATGGATATTATATGCCAAGTTCTTCCTGAGTAACAAAATTTTGTATAGGCGCAACCATGATTTAACCCTGCTTCGTTATAGGGACAAGAAGGAAGCAGAGAAAATAATGGAGGACATGCACGAAGACATCTTTGGTACTCACTGTAGCGGTAAAATCAATGAAGTCGCCACTGAGTATTTACTTATCCCACAAAAGGGAAAGGAAAAATCATCGAAGAAAAACCTAAAAGAGGAAGTCAAGGCCTTGCGACCGAGAGATTGGTAAGGGAGTCAATTACGCGAAGGGAAGGTATTAGGACCCCACACGTCCATAGTACTCTACGGGATCCACTCTCATTATTCTAATCGAAGGGTGTGTTCAATCTAATTCTTAAGAGTTATAAACTAAGAGGAAATGCATGCAAAGAAAACACGGGGAAAAGAAGGAAGTATTTACAAATTTTCGCTCGGCTGAGCCCCGTGACCAGATGCCTACGTATCCCCTTTAAGGAATCAGAGCACCATAGCTCGGCTCATATATTTTGTTTGTTTGTATTTTTTAAATGAACAATGTTGCATTTGATCATTCCATCGCTGCTCGATCTTTGGAGACTTACAACCTATAGTGGAAAGGAGCTAACATGCTCTTAGAAGAGAAAAGCCAAATGGATAAAAGAAATGGATTGGTTGGTATTTTTTACCATGAAAAGAATTTTTTTATGCTTAGCATTTTTTTATACATTTGCCAAGAAAAAGAAGTTTTAGTTTTAAAATTAATTATGCAAAAATGGGAAGAAAACATCTAAGGGAGACTAACCTATCTCTAACATAATGTTATCATACAATGAGGGATCCTATCTAAGTTAGCATGCCAAATAAAGTCTAACAAACTATCCTATAGGGAACATACAATGAGAGCAAAGTCGTGATCTCAATTTCTAAATTGAGTGACTCATCGATCAACAAGAAATAAAGGAAAGTGATAAAACCCTATAGGGAGCATGCACTGAGAGCGAAGTCGTGATCTCAAATTCTAAATTGAGTGACTCATCAATCAACAAGAAAGGAATCAAACACAAGTATAACACATATAATAAATGAAGTGCAGAATGCCTGCTACGGGTCTTTAAACAACGACTTCGAGCGCACGCTCTTTATTTCCTACTTCTCATGATATCTAGAAAGCAATAACGGAAATATAACTTGGAAGCATAATAATACCAAACGAACGATAATGTCCGCAAAAAGCGCAACCAAAGTAAAGAAACCCGAGATACTTCACGCGAACTGGAATTAACAAACAAACAATCAGAGATTGAATATTTGGAATAGGTGTCGAAGCTTCATCGATGTGAAAATAAATCACAATCGAAACCCAAACACATCTGCATATCAAATAACGAACCTACATAAGACTCAACTCAACAAGCAAAGGTGAATCACAAGTCTCAAGTAATTGAAAAAATTGGGCATTAATTTCCAACAATCAAATAAAAAGCCTAAATATATATATATATATATATATATATATATATATATATATATATATATATATATATATATATATATATATATATATATATATATATATATATATATATATATATATATTTTGTAGTTTAGTATCATAAAAAAAATCTAAACTCTCCACATTTTTTTTATTGTTTTATCATATATTCTACTACCACTTGTATCAAAAAGAAAATTAAACAAGAAAACAAAATTTTAAAACTAAAGAAATTAGAAAGAGCAAAAGGGGGTAAAACTGAAATTAGGGGGATATTGCTTCAGCAAAAATGCCAGGATATTAGGCCCAACGTAAAGGGGTACAAACCCAGTTTTTTGGCCTAAAGAATTTGGCATTCCAAAAAAAATATGGGCTTAAAGAGATGCGAGATCCAGCCTAGTAATCAAGAAAACACTGGAAAAAAAATCTACCCGAATGTTATGCATTTCCTTGGGGAGATTAAGGTTAATTCAATGTAACATTTCAACTTCTACCTCCAAAGAAAAATCAGAGTTCTCTCGTAGAACTCTCCATTCCCGTATTTCTTCTTCAACTTCACCGCCGCTTATTTTATATCTTCCCCTTTGTTCTCGGTTTTCAGAAATTACCTCAAAGCTCTCGATTAACACCTCAATGTTCTTTGATCCATAACAAACTCCTCTAATCACCACCGCGTCTCACTTATTCTCTTCAAACGGCATCACACACCTCCTTCTCCGATAAAAAGCCATCGTGAATCACCATTAAGACGACACATCATATCAACACCACTGCCCCTGCCTTCGTCTCCTTTTGAACCTAAATCTAACAGGAACTACAAAACCTAACTAATCATCAACCGAAATAAATCTGATACGATGCGCGGGATTGAGTCATAGACTTAGGGCTCTCATTCAACGGCGTGTAAACGATACCGTAGTATAAAGAATAGTGCAAGAAGAAGAAGAGAATGGCCTTCCTACCGTAATAGCTCCAGCAGACCTTCAACGGCGACGACAGTCAAAGAAATCTGGAGTTAGTTGCGAGATCCAGGTGATGATAACCTCTTTCTTAAATTATGTATTCTACTCTTTATCAATAACGATTCGATGAAACATAATTCTTGCTCGTTGATGATATGGTGCAGAATCGATGTAGTTGCAATGTTATACGGTGCATAATCTTGATGAAGAAGCAATGATGATAAGAACAGTTGAAGGTTGTTAGATAAGCCTCAAGATGATTGAATGTGGAGGATGACAATGTTACACTAAATTCAGAGGGAGTATAGAGAAGCTTTATTTCTAGTTTTTCACTAGATGAAGATGAAGAAGAGTGTGAAGATTCCAAATGAAAGAGAGAATCAAGGATTCCGATCAAAGGGAGAATTGAAGGTTGAAGATGGAAAAGAGAGTGAAGGTTGAATCTGGAAAGTTTTTTGTTATTCTTGTTGTAAAATTAATCGTGGAAAAAGTGAATCCCCCTTAAAATTTTGGAGGGATAAGAGTACATATACTGGAAGGAGTATTCATCTGAACCATTGGATTAAGAGGAGTTGGTTAGAAGATGAAGGGTGAGGATGAGTCCGTTAGTCATTCTCTCAAAGTTAGTTAAGACTTTGTATTCAGTTAGTTATTCTGTAAGTGACTTTAATTTCTGTTATAACAGTTTGTTTTGAGTGTGAGAACTTCCAGAGGAGACCTGAGAAGTGTGACCAGGAGCTGGTGCTGACGGATAAGGCTGAAAATGAGCATTGTGACTGTTATGCATATTCCTAAACTACTGAGGTGGATGAATAGGTTGATCTGCAATTTGATGATCCTAATGGAGATGAGCCTGATTCTTCTTCAACACTGCTACAAAGATAAGAACTCCAACGGTAAGCTCTTCACTCTTTTCCTCTTCTTTGCTTTTGAACTCCTTTATCGTCACTTCATTCTTTGCGCTTCTTGATGTTATCTGAACTCACCGTTACACCATGATATTATTGTTGTTTCTCATTTGCAGAGAAGAAGGTTGGATAATTGATGAATGTGGTAATGGAGTGATGAAGTGGGGTCTAAAGATCAGGGAAGATGAAGATTGAAGAGGAGCGTGGTTTGCTGAATGGTGATGGAAGATGAAGATGGAGAGATTTTGCGGTTATGCTATTGAAGATTGAGGTGAAGGTCCAAGGAAGATTGTGAAGAAAATGATGGTTGAAGGAAGAGAAAAAACCTCACCCAAAGTAGATAGGTGTGTTTCTGTTATAGTTGTAGTGAATCACCCCTCTCTTTTCTCAATTCCGTTATTAATCTGTTAGCACCTCTTTTCGTTGAATTCCGTTAGCGTTCTGTTATTGATGAATGGACTAGATTGATTCAGTTCTGAGTCGGCTCTGCTGCTAGCAAAACTATTAGGAAAAAAATCTCTGAGCTTTTTCTGTTTCCCCCCCTTTCGTCCCCTGAACTCAATTTTCTATTTTTGCTATCTTTCTCTTATGGATGAGTGGCCTCGATCAATTCAGTTATGAATCAATTATGCTGTTAAAAAACAGTTAGGGAAATTGATCTCTGGGATTTTTCTGTTATGACTGTTATGGGACAGTTCTGACTTACTGCTATTTTAATTATTTCCTAATTTTTCTGTTGATCTCAAAATGTTGGTTTCCTATGCTTCTGCAATATACTTAGCATTACGTTCCTTAGCTGCAAAAATTCATTTAACCATACTCTATATTGAACCATATGACCTTTCATATTTTTCCAGGTATATTGTCCATCTCAGAAGATATTTCTCAATGGCACAAATCCACTATGAAGTAAGCCTTCTACTTTTTTCTATTAAAAATTGCGAACTGGCTTTTTGCTTGGATAAGTTATTGAACCATTTTTTTTTACTTATGAATTAATGCAGGGCTAGCGTATGAACTTGATCACTTTTCTTCTTCTGTGTTTGCAGCACGACATGCTCCCGACATTCAAGTGAGCTTGTGTCAGTTGATTGAAACAAGGCTATTTCGGTATATGAGCATGGTTGATCGGCTTTGGACAAGTTGAAAGGAAGCATAGGAATATGGTTGAGACATTCGAAGGCGAGGCATGAAGATTGAATTGCCGATATGAATCGGTGGAGATGGAAGCACAAACATGGTAGCCATTAGGTTTAGGATTAGGCATATGTCTCATGTATAATTTCTTGATGTAATATCTTGTAAAATATGAATAATTTACCTTGTTTCTTGAATTCCAAAGAACTAAACTTGAACGAATATGGAGGTATTTGAATTTCAATATTCAATTGAATGAAAAATTCGAATCCATGACTTATGGTTGATAAAATCTCAAGTAACTTTGTAATGAAAGCATATTGGTATCTTTTGCATTTTTGAATAGAACTTTGTTCATGAATGAAGCTTTGAATAAAGTCGAATTTTGATGATTTTAATGAACATTTGTGATTGGAACCTTGATGACATTTGATAACCGTGAAATTAATTTGATAATGATGTATGAATCGTAACTTACTTTATCCAATACATACACATACATGAATGTTTTAATCTTGAACTTTTGAATTACTTTGTGACAGATCAATGTTGATGCCATAGTGAAACCATAAACCAAAACCTTGAATCACTTGGTCATATTGAATTCATAACACATTCAAATGAAGCTTTTGATCTTGAGTTCATATACCTTGTAGTCAAAGCAATTCATTTCAATTGAATAACTAGTGACTTTAGTCTATACTTGTGTCATGATTCATGTTTTTTTTCACTTTAAACGTCGAAGACATCCTAACTCGATAATGAAAAATCTTACAACAAGATTAAAGTTGTGAGGAACCAATTGAAAACAAGTGGCAAGACTTGAAGTATCAAATTCAATGACCTTCAGTTGAAATGTTGACAAACTCAACCACCCTGGATAAAAACCCTAATCCGTTTGAGTGTATCATAATGAGAATTAGATGCCGATTCAATCCTATAAACTTCTTGAAAATAATATCTTGTAGTGAAGACAATTAGGAGGAAACCCCAATTCTCTTGATTTGGATGCACAATGATGAGGAGACGATTTGAGGTATTGGGAGGAATCGAAACTCTAGCTCATTTTCTTCTCAGTTTCAAAATATGATGAAACCTACGCACATGAAGGTAAAGCCCTTATGCACTTGTTCTTGAGAAACTTTTGATTAAGAAAACCTTTTGTCTCGAGGAAACCTGTTAGTTAAGACGACCATGATGCTTATGATCCAAAACCCTAATCTCCTACCAAGAATAATGAGAGCACCAGTTGAATTAATTTTGAGTAAGATAGCAAACTCAAATCATAGAGAGAAACCCCAATGCCAAAGCTCTTCGATCCTATACACATGAGACCAATGCTATGTGTAAGATGTATAGAGTATGGTGAGGGGTATTAGGGGAAAAATTGGGGTATAACACTCAATCAAGTGGACATACAATGGCCAAGAAGTTCTTGAGAGCTGGATACTATTGGTCGACCATGGAAACCGATTGTCACCTCCACTCGAGGACTTGCCATAAGTGCCAAAAATATGCTGATAAGGTTCACGTGCCTCCAATTCCTTTGAATGTCATGACTTCTCCTTGACCATTTTCAATGTGGGGCATTGACATGATTGGAGAAATTAATCCTATTTCCTCTAATGGACATCGTTTTATTCTTGTTGCCATTGATTACTTTACCCAGTGGGTTGAAGCAACTTCATTTGCGTCAGTTACCAAGAACGTCATGGACCAGTTCATTAAGCATAACCTTATTTGTCGGTATGGTATCCCTGAGAGGATCATCACTGACAATGGTACCAACCTCAACAACCCCATGATCATTGAACTATACATGCAATTTAAGATCAAGCATCACAACTCTTCTCTATATAAACCTAAGATGAATGGCATAGTGGAAGCTGCCAACAAAAACATAAAGAAGATTGTGCAAAAGATGGCAGTGATCTAAAAAGACTGGCATGAGATATTTCCATTTCCTCTTCATGGCTATCGTACCTCGGCGCGAACATCAAATGGGGAAACCCCATTCTCTTTAGTCTATGATATGGAAGTTTTCCTGCCTGTTGAAGTCTAAATTCCTTCTTTAAGCATCATGAAAGATGCAGACTTGGACGAAGACGAGTGGATTCAGACTAGGTTAGATCAGTTGAATCTAATGGATGAGAAGAGGCTTGCGACTGTTTATCATGGTCAGATGTATCAAAAATGTATGATCAAGGCATTCAACAAGAAGATCAAGCATCTGGTATACCAGGCTGGTGACCCTGTAATAAAGCATATCATTCTACCACAAGATGATCCCAGGGGAAAATGAACTCCCACTTACGAAGGGCCATTTGTTGTTAAGAAAGTATTCTTAGGCGGTGCTATGATGCTAACCACTATGGATGGTGAAGATTTCCCACACTCTGTGAATGCAGACATAGTTAAAAACTACCACGCATAAGAATGACCCGCTAGGTTGACATACCTATGCAAAAATAAGGGCATCCCGGCGAACCAAAAGGGTTCGGGCAAAAATTATGGATATATACAAAAGATTGTACACCTGGCAAGTCAAAAACCTGAAAAAGGCGGCTTGGGAAAAAAGGGTATCGTAGTGGACTGAAAAGCTGAAAGGGGGTCCATGTAAAAATTAAGGATTAAAAGCGTACGATTATGTCCCGTTGGATCACTTGCATGCAAGCCTTATTGCCAAAGTCGAAAGTTCAAATGGTTCAATCAAATTCTTCTGATGGCAAGGGACGAGATATTCGAAGACATAGGGGCATTAGCAGAGTTTGGAACCCAATAAGATCACTTCCACATGGCTATACATTTTGTTTTCACTTTGTACTATTTTCATTTCATGACAACTTCCTCTTACTAGGATTTCTGTCTCTTTGTACAAAATTTCCTGTTTATAGGCCAATTATTAATACAAATATACTTTAAAGTCCAAACTTTTGATTTTTTTCTGTTTTGCTTGCAAAAACATCCAATGACTAAAATTGAATGAGCATATGCATATGAACACAATTAACCATTAACAAATATATTCATAAGAACAGGACTACACATTCACTCAAGATTCTAGAAGCTGGGATGACACTCAAGTTGTCCATAAATCCCCACAGAGTCACTTTTGTAAGATTATCCCCACAAAGTTATCTTCACAAATTCATCCCCAAAAGGGTACATTCCCCGTAATCTCCCCGGCAGACCGCTCTAGCAAATAAAGGAGTAAAATCTATTTTCCCGATAGTATTACCAACCTACGGAATTTCCAATCAGTACACTTCCTAGAAATTCTCTTCCCCAACTAAGTTTGGTCCTCTAAAACTAAAAAAGAAACCTTGCAGAGTTTCTTATCTTTAGAAAAATTAATTTCCCCAGGAGAGTTCATTTCTTCAGCAGAATACTTCTCCGACAACAGGGTTTATTTCCCCAACAGACTACAAATTCCCCAACTCGAGTCTATTCCTCAGACTACTACAAATCACTGACAAAATTCTTCTCCCCAGTAAAGTTGCCACTATCCCCAGAGACTTGTTACAAAACTTGGAATCCGACCATATACCAGTTAACTTTTATCCTCCCCGAACAAGTCGGAAGGTTATCCATCTTTTTTATCCCCAGTCAGGATATATAAGAATTAAACTCCCTAGTAAAGCAACGGAAGACCAAGGTTCCTAAACTCTACTCCCTAAACAAAAATCAATACATCCCCGACAGAGTTTTCTCAAACAACTAAACAGGACTCCCCAGTGGAAGCATTCTAGACAAGATTGAAGATACACATACTCTTCATCCCCAACAATGGTCAGAAATTTATTTTCCCATAGAAGATTCTACATGGGTTTATAAATACACTTCGACAACATTTTACATTCATACATCATAGCATATGCATACGAAACACGTACAGCACAATCTCATTTATTTTGAGAACATCGTT